CTGTCACGTGATGTGTGTGTTCTGTCACGTGATGTGTGTGTGTTGTCACGTGATGTGTGTGTGTTGTCACGTGATGTGTATGTGCTGTCACGTGATGTGTGTGTGTGTGTTGTCACGTGATGTGTGTGTTGTCACGTGATGTGTGTGTGTTGTCACGTGATGTGTGTGTTGCCACGTGATGTGTGTGTGTTGTCACGTGATGTGTGTGTGTGTGTTGTCACGTGATGTGTGTGTGTTGTCACGTGATGTGTATGTGTTGTCACATGATGTGTGTTGTCACGTGATGTGTGTGTGTTGTCACGTGATGTGTATGTGTTGTCACGTGATGTGTGTGTGTGTTGTCACGTGATCTGTATGTGCTGTCACGTGATGTTTGTGTGTTGTCACGTAATGTGTATGTGTTGTCACGTGATGTGTACGTGTTGTCACGTGCTGTATGTGTGTTGTCACGTGCTGTGTGTGTTGTCACGTGATGTGTATGTGTTGTCACGTGATGTGTGTGTGCTGTCACGTGATGTGTATGTGCTGTCACGTGATGTGTATGTGTTGTCACGTGATGTGTACGTGTTGTCACGTGCTGTGTGTGTGTTGTTACGTGATATGTGTGTGTTGTCACGTGATGTGTGTGTGCTGTCACGTGATGTGTATGTGCTGTCACATGATGTGTATGTGTTGTCACGTGATGTGTACGTGTTGTCACGTGCTGTGTGTGTGTTGTTACGTGATGTGTGTGTGTTGTCACGTGATGTGTATGTGTTGTCACGTGATGTGTGTGTGCTGTCACGTGATGTGTATGTGCTGTCACGTGATGTGTATGTGTTGTCACGTGATGTGTACGTGTTGTCACGTGCTGTGTGTGTGTTGTCACGTGATGTGTACGTGTTGTCACGTGATGTGTGTGTGTTGTCACGTGATGTGTGCGTGCTGTCACGTGATGTGTATGTGCTGTCACGTGATGTGTATGTGTTGTCACGTGATGTGTGTGTGTTGTCACGTGATGTGTGTGTGCTGTCACGTGATGTGGATGTGCTGTCACGTTATGTGTATGTGTTGTCACGTGCTGTGTGTGTGTTGTCACGTGCTGTGTGTGTGTTGTCACGTGATGTGTATGTGTTGTCACGTGATGTGTATGTGCTGTCACGTGATGTGTGTGTTCTGTCACGTGATGTGTGTGTGTTGTCACGTGATGTGTGTGTGTTGTCACGTGATGTGTATGTGCTGTCACGTGATGTGTATGTGCTGTCACGTGCTGTGTGTGTGTTGTCACGTGACGTGTATGTGTTGTCACGTGATGTGTGTGTGTTGTCACGTGATGTGTATGTGCTGTCACGTGATGTGTGTGTGTGTGTTGTCACGTGATGTGTGTGTTGTCACGTGATGTGTGTGTTGCCACGTGATGTGTGTGTGTTGTCACGTGATGTGTGTGTGTGTGTTGTCACGTGATGTGTGTGTGTTGTCACGTGATGTGTATGTGTTGTCACGTGATGTGTGTGTGTTGTCACGTGATGTGTGTGTTGTCACGTGATGTGTGTGTGTTGTCACGTGATGTGTATGTGCTGTCACATGATGTGTGTTGTCACGTGATGTGTGTGTTGTCACGTGATGTGTGTGTTGTCACGTGCTGTGTGTGTGTTGTCACGTGATGTGTATGTGTTGTCACATGATGTGTGTTGTCACGTGATGTGTGTGTGTTGTCACGTGATGTGTATGTGTTGTCACGTGATGTGTGTGTGTTGTCACGTGATGTGTATGTGCTGTCACGTGATGTTTGTGTGTTGTCACGTAATGTGTATGTGTTGTCACGTGATTTGTGTGTGTTGTCACGTGCTGTGTGTGTTGTCACGTGATGTGTGTGTGTTGTCACGTGATGTGTATGTGCTGCCACGTGATGTTTGTGTGTTGTCACGTGATGTGTACGTGTTGTCACGTGCTGTATGTGTGTTGTCACGTGCTGTGTGTGTTGTCACGTGATGTGTGTGTGCTGTCACGTGATGTGTATGTGCTGTCACGTGATGTGTATGTGTTGTCACGTGATGTGTACGTGTTGTCACGTGCTGTGTGTGTGTTGTTACGTGATGTGTGTGTGTTGTCACGTGCTGTGTGTGTGTTGTCACGTGATGTGTGTGTGTTGTCACGTGATGTGTGTGTGTTGTCACGTGATGTGTGTGTGTGTTGTCACGTGATGTGTATGTGTTGTCACGTGCTGTGTGTGTGTTGTCACGTGATGTGTATGTGTTGTCACGTGATGTGTATGTGTTGTCACGTGATGTGTATGTGTTGTTACGTGCTGTGTGTGTGTTGTCACGTGATGTGTATGTCTTGTCACGTGATGTGTATGTGTTGTCACGTGATGTGTATGTGCTGTCACGTGATGTGTATGTGTTGTCACGTGATGTGTGTGTTGTCACGTGCTGTGTGTGTTGTCACGTGATGTGTATGTGTTGTCACGTGATGTGTGTGTGTTGTCACGTGATGTGTATGTGCTGTCACGTGATGTGTATGTGTTGTCACGTGATGTGTATGTGTTGTCACGTGCTGTGTGTGTTGTCACGTGATGTGTATGTGTTGTCACGTGATGTGTGTGTGTTGTCACGTGATGTGTATGTGTTGTCACGTGATGTGTGTGTGCTGTCATGTGATGTGTATGTGTTGTCACGTGATGTGTGTGTGTTCTCACGTGATGTGTGTGTGCTGTCACGTGATGTGTATGTGTTGTCACGTGATGTGTATGTGTTGTCACGTGCTGTGTGTGTGTTGTCACGTGATGTGTGTGTGTTGTCACGTGCTGTGTGTGTGTTGTCACGTGATGTGTATGTGTTGTCACGTGATGTGTATGTGTTGTCACGTGCTGTGTGTGTGCTGTCACGTGATGTGTATGTGTTATCACGTGATGTGTGTGTGTTGTCACGTGATGTGTGTGTGCTGTCACGTGATGTGTATGTGTTGTCACGTGATGTGTGTGTGTTGTCACGTGATGTGTATGTGCTGTCACGTGCTGTGTATGTGCTGTCACGTGATGTGTATGTGTTGTCACGTGATGTGTGTGTGTTGTCACGTGATGTGTATGTGTTGTCACGTGATGTGTATGTGTTGTCACGTGCTGTGCATGTGTCGTCTTGTGATGTGTGTGTGTTGTCATGTGATGTGTATGTGTTATCACGTGATGTGTGTGTGCTGTCACGTGATGTGTATGTGTTGTCACGTGATGTGTGTGTGTTGTCACGTGCTGTGTCCTGTCGGGGGCGGCACGTCAGGGGGCCGCCAGGGGCCCGCGGGCCCTGCAATGAAGGACACTGCTCCCCACGGTGTACACAATAGCAGCACATGGTAGATACACACAAAATAAATACACAAGACAAGCACATAATGGACACACAATGTACAAAATACATAAACACAAGCACACGCTAGATACAATACTAGATACAATGTACACAACGTATACACAATTCTAACTATACCTACACAAGAGATACGATATAAAAGATACACATACTACTTACTAATATGTACACATTACACGACACACACATATAATACGGACACTATTATAAATAAGATAAAAACTCATGCATTATGTTTACTGTTGTAGCATACTCAAGATGGTGAGATGTGGTGGCTTTAAGTGGCCTTAATCCAGCAGTGGATCGATCACTGTTGATGATGAACACACACTACGTGTTTACATTACAGAGTTCAGATGTCACCTATACACAGTACCCACACGACATCCAACACAACAGAGATAAAGACAAAAGTTCACCCGTATAGCCTTTAACAGACTGTTGGGGCAAGTGCTGTTAGCGAGCACCTATGAAGGCCGGCACGGTACACGAGGGGGTGGGTGGTCAGAACCACGCCCGGCCGCCTTTGTCTCCCCAGTGGCGAAGTTTACACACCGCACCAGGTACTCGTTAGAAGCTGACTCAACCTAGGGGAGGCCGAGGACCGGTTCAGATAATCGTCACCAGTGTTGTGTTGGCCACATCGGGAATCGAATTCGGGTTGCCGGGTTCGTAGTGCAGCGTAGCGCTGACCGCTACACCACCGCTCCCCGATACAAAAGACAAGGAACCCCCGTATAAACACACGCAGACAAACACGTGCACACACGCGCAGCGCCACCACCCGCAGCAGGCCGAGCTCTGGGTGTGATGGATGGAGCTCTCTGATGCTGCCGGGGAGCACGTGCCACGATTTGTGTGGAAATTGGAGATAGTGGGGGGCGGGGCTGGGGGCCGGGGGGGGGCGATTGTGGGTTGGAGACAGCCTCGGGGTCTCCCTCACTGACGTGACACTTCACCTCGGCACGTGCAGCTGGCAATTAACGACGCCCGTGGCACCGCGGCGCTGCCAATGATTGGAATGAACGTGGTGATAATTGGGTTTCAATTTATGACAACACGACCCCCTTAGGATGGCGGAGGCAATCTCAGCTGCGTGCGCCACGGCCCAGGATCGCGTTTTAAGAGAAGATAACAATTGACGGCGATTTAAAGCCCCGTTCAGTCCACTGCTGTACGAATTGAGGCGTCACTCCACCGCGTCGCTCATTGGGGTTGATTGAGCGATACTTCACCACGCTGGGCATTGTGCGTTTGTAGCGGAGCGGAGGAAGCAGGCACGGGGCCGTTGAGATATCGCGTTTAGAGGTGGCCCGGAATTGAACTCGGATGGTCAGGTCGATGGGGCAGTGCGTGCGCGAACCAGTGCCACCGCTTCCGCAGTGACCAGCTTTGGTGAAGTATGGTCAAACAGTCCCCATGACTGACACGGCATGTGGAGGCCCTCATCTATCAGGTGGTTGACAAAAGAGCGATTGATGCGAGACGTGAGGTTACGTCGCCACGCTGCCGACTGCCGGGAGCCGTGGCACCAGTCGAATAAATGGCACCGAGTCTGAAGCCGTCGATGCCACCCCACACGCGTCGTCACCAACGCTGCCCCGGCTCGTGCTGCATCAGGCACGCGCGAGGCTCCTGGCGTGGGGCTGTGCTCACCTGGGGTCCTTGTGGATGCTATCCAGAGACGGCTGCCGAGTGGGCGCCAGGCTCTGAGTGGGCGCCTGCGGGTAGGCGGAGGCCTCCGCCCTTGAGAGCGGCCCCGGCGAGTATCGGTAGGCGTCCGGGTACCCGGCCGAGGCGGCCGCGGGCTCCGGGTTGAGCGCGGGCGACGCCTGCAGCGCGTAGGCGTCGGGGAACGGCTCCGCGTTGTACGAGGGCGACTGCCGGTACGAGTCCGGGTCCGCGTAGATCTGGTGCGCGGGCGAGTGCCGGTACGGCTCCAGGTCGACGTACGCCTGGCGGCTGGGCGACTTCTGGCTCGCGTCGATGTCCGCGTACAGGTGGTGGCTGGGCGAGTGGCGGTACTCCTCGGCGTAGGTGCCCCCCGCCGCCGCGCTGAAGCTGCCCCGCTGGTAGGTGAGGTAGCTGCGGGCGTTGCGCTGGCTGCCGCTGCCGCTGCGCTTGAAAGGCACTGAGCGGACACGGGGGGGGGGGGCAGACGGCAGCGGCAGTAGCACGCGGCCCCCAACCCGCGCGACGGAGACTCGTGTCTGCGTGCCCTCACGTGGCCGCTATGCGCGAGGTCAAGACGCGTGGGTGTTGGCTGCGGGTGGGATTTGCCCTTAAGGTAAAACGGGTAAAAGCGCAGCCGTGCAATTGCTCGCTCACGCACACTGCTCGCGGAAAAGATTTTAACAACTCCACGCCGACCAGATGTGTAGGAAGAGATGGGTGATACCCACACTTTACCCCAGTCAGCGGTGTTAATGCGCCCACCGCTGGGTGGACAGAGGCGGCGAAGGAAGATTTAAAAAAACTCAATCTAGATTTGAAGTTTTCGTGACTGCAGGTATCCATACGCTTTGGTTCTTTCGGTAAAGTCACGTAGGTGTCAAATAACTTCGGCAATTGTTTTCTTGCTGTGGTTGTCCCACCTGATGTTACAAACTGCCTTGCCGAGAGATGGAATTGAATTGGTGCCCTCTAGATTGCAAGTCCAGTGCGCTAACCATTGCACCACTGTGCGAGGGAGGGAGCTCTTGAACTCAAAACGCCGTGAGTTGCCTGAGCGCGTCACCCGCCCCTCCACTCCCGCTGTTTCGATTACTGCCGGGGCGAGGCGGTCAATAATACAACGGCAACGCAGCACAATGGTAGCACAATACACGCACATCCAGCCACTCTGAGCCTCCACACTCCCTTTTCATGGGTTTGGAGATGATTGTTTATATTATGAGTGCTGTACGTGTAGGAGGAATCGCCGAGTGTCTCGAGAAAGGCTATGCGTGGCAGTGGATGTAACTGACAACTCCGTACAGGCTGGGTTTGCGAGCCCACTTGCTATACTGCCAGCTCCTGACCACCGCGCTGCCCAGCGGTTTGGGAGTTTACAAATCTCTACGTGAGCCACCACCCACCGGCCTCCAAATCTGAATCACAAATCTGTAATCCATCAAACTCCACGTGGCGACTCACGGAGCCACGGAACCCTCCCCGCCGCCACCGTCCTGGGGCGGGTGCCGCAGTCGCGGATTCCCCTCCCCCCCCCCAGCACGGAGCGGACATCGTCACGGTAGCGACCGATTGATAATCCTCCTGGAGCATCAGACGAGGTCACCGAGGTGCTGGCTACGAGTGACTGTCCACGCTGCCTCGCCTCCTCACATTCTGCCCCCTTCCCGGCCCCGAGCGGCACACTGCCGTCTGCGACGAGGAGTTGCCGCCGCGGGAGATCGAAGCGTAGCGCGGCGCGAACGGCCGATTAGGGGGCGGAGTGAAGTTCGCTCGCGAGGATTCGCCACGGGGCGCCCAGCAATCACCCTGTGGGATTGTTTGATTCCAAGTCAATTTTGAGTCGACGCAACTGCTGCGCCGCGTACAGCTGCTGTCATTATGCGGCAATAAAGCGGCGTTCGCCGACTTCGATCGCGTTAATTGCTCGGTAATTGTTGCGGTGATAGCGGGAAGGATTGGGGGGGGGGGGAGAGCGGGGCGGGGGGGAGGGTGGAGGTGGAGGGAGTGGAGGGGGCACCCACTCGTGCTGCTGTAAAATGCGGAGCTCCCGTGCGCGGGAAGCGGAGGTGGCGACTGCGACCCCGGGGTCGTGTGTCCCCCCACGCTGCCGTGGCTCTCGGCGGGGTTCAGGAAGGCAGGGGGCTCGGCTCCGCCGCCCTGGCTCAGCTGGCCCGAGTACGAGACGCGGGAGCCTGCACGCAGAGGACAGCGGAACACAACCGCGAGGCTCTCGACGTGACAGTCGACGCGATCCCTTGCGTGCGGAACACCCGCGGACAGGAGATGCGACGAGCGCGGGGACAAGGAGCAAGGGCCGAGGGGATCCACCGGGACACGGAACCGGGGGATTCGAGGGGAGGGGACACGGGGCAAGGGGACCCGAGGGGATACTTGCCCGAGAGCTGCCCCGGGAACTGCATTCCGCGCCGCTCGTACAGGCTGTACGCGCCGTCCGCGGCGTGCGCGTAAAGGTCGTGTCCCATCCTCCTGGCCGCCGCGTCCCCTGCCCCCTGCCCCCGTGGGTCCCCACCGCCCCCCGCGTCCATGTAGCTGTCGGCGGACGAGCCGAGGTGCCCGAATGCGGCCTCTCCTCCCAGCGCGGCCTGCCGGGTGAACTTCCGGCCCATGGTCAGCGTGTAGAGCGCGGGGGCCCCCTGCGCGTGCGGGCCCCCGCCGGCCTCGGTGCCGGCCCTGTGGCTGCCGTAGGCGTCCGCCCCCTGGGTCGTCCTGCGCCTGCGCCCCAGCGTCCACGTGTACTGCTCGGGGAGAGGCGCGCGGTACGGGCTGCTGTCCCCCACGGCCTCCTCGTGGGAGAACCTCTCCTGGCCGAACGCGTGGCTGCGCTCCTGGCCGTAGCGCTGGGTGCCCGGATCTGGGTAGCTTTCTCCGGCCTCGTCCCCGAACATCTCCGAGCCCTGCGGGCTGTATCCCAGCCCCGGCGTCTCCGAGTACATCTCCCCGTGCGGCTGCGTGTAGGCCTCGCTTCCTCGATACTGCTCCTGGGCGTCCTGCTGCTGGCCGTAGTGCGTGGCGCTCGCGGGGCCCACGTGCTCACACAGCTGCTGCTGCTGCTGTTGCTGCTGCATCGGGAGGAGAGCCTCGCTCCTGAACGCGACCTCGTCGTGCTCCGCGCGGAACCCGCGTTGAGCAGGAACCCCCGGGCCCGGCTCCTCGTCTCTGCCGCACGCGGGTACCAGGGCCTCCCCCTCCGCGCTCCCGCCCCCGGCGGCGCGCTGAGCGAGCAGGGCGTGACGCGTGGCTGGGACAGGCGCCAACGGCGCAGACGGCTGGGGTGGCACCTGGCTCGGGGCCTGAGCGGGAGCGGTCGCCTTGGCCGTGGGCGGCGTGGAGCGGGGAGGCGGGATCGGAGGCGGCCGCTTCCCCGGACGGGCGAGAGGCATCACCGCGGGCAGAGGCGCCGCCGCGGGAGTCGCCGGCTGCTGCGCGCAGGGACCGGAGTCCGAGGCGGCGCCGCTCAGGACCCTGGACAGCACCGCACCGCCGCCCGCCCCTTTGCCGAAGGCCGAGCCGTGGGGAGCGAGAGGCGGGGCCGCCTCCTCCCTGTCCGAGGCCTCCTTGCCCCGAGCGACTGCCTCCGCCGGGCAAACTTCCTCCTCCGAGCTGCCGGCGCCGCTGCCGCCTTCCGACGCCGAGCGCCGAGCCGCGGAGCTCGCCGACTCGGGGTGCTGGAGCGACTGGGACCCGTCCTGCGGAGAGAGCGCCTGGAGAGGGGAGCCATTCTGCGCTGCGGGGACGGCCACGGATTCCCGACGGGACGGAGGGCAGTGGAAGGCGCTGCCAAACGACGACGAGAAGGTGAAGAGCGGAGTCGACGCGGCGTCCGCGGCGCTGCTCGGGAACTCGGAGAAGCCGGCGGGGAGCGCGGCGTCGGGAGACGCCGTGGCCTGCAGCGGGGAGAGCGACGGAGACAGAGAGAGCATCGGTGGCGATGGAACACCGCTCTCGAGGTTGACGAACATGTGCGTGCCACACACTGTAGACGTGCGCGCGCGGAATTGTAAATGTATACACATTGTACACACACACACAAAGACACGCTCTGTCTGACGCATACAGTACCATGTACTCGCTCACACACTCCCGTGACACACACACACTGCCGTGACACACACACACTGTCGTGACACACACACACACACACTGCCGTGACACACACACACACACACACTGCCGTGACACACACACTGCCATGACACACACACACTGCCGTGACACACACACACACTGCCGTGACACACACACTGCCATGACACGCACACACACATCACCGCGACGTCACAAGGCAGCGAGCGCCGCACGCGAACGCTGCTGTGCGCGTGCGACCCCCCCGCCCCCCTCGATGCCCGAGCCCCCCTCCTCCCATCGCCGTGTTTGGGGCCCAGGAGTTGGGGGGGGGGAGGCGCGCGGTGGGTGCAGGGGACCTGGCTCAGTCTCCAGCCGCTCCCGGGACTCGAGGCGGAGGAAGGCGGCGCTGGGACGTCCCCGGCATCCGCAGTCGCCGCCTCCTGGGACTCGGGGCTTTCCCGTCGCTCGGCGCCGCCCCCCGACACCCACGCGGCTCCCTCCTCCGCGCCCCCAGGGCTGCTGCTGCCGCCGCTGTTGTGCTGAAATGCCCCCAGGGCGCCCAGGGACTGCGGGTCGCGCCGAGGGGGCGGCGCCGGGGGCTCCGAGTCGCCCTCGTCTCCCGCGGAGGGGCTGATCACGGGGAACGCAGCGGCAGCCGCAGCGGCTGCTGGGGCCCACACGGAGAAGCCGGCCACAGGAGCACGTGGAGATGAGAGACCCCCCCCCCCCCCGTTGTTCGCTGTATAATATGGCTGAACAATTTGGGGAAAATATCTAATTGCGATTTTTCTGACAGATATTGCGATTTGATTTGCGATAAAAAATGTTTTAAGTCAAGCTTCATTTCAATATTGACTGTGTATTAGATTTAAAATGTGTGATGGAGCATTACCACATGATACCATAAAATATGAACTGCTCTATATATTCTAATGCAAGGATGAGAACTTAAAAGATATGAACTGCTTCCACCATGTATTTATTAACATGTTTTAATTGAAACATAAACAATTGTTAAGTTAAATAAAGTTAAAATTTAACAATTCCAATAAGAAAGTAATAGGCCTTTTCAAATTGCAAAAAATCGCAGCCTTTGCGATTTGATAATCGCATTGTTTCAAATAGCGATTTCGATTTAAAATCGATTAATCGATCAGCCCTACTGTATAATGAGTTTCAGGTTGATGTTCTATTACTGTGTGAGCATGGTGTGGTGTTGGTTTTGAGGTTGTGTGAGGTTGGTGTGAGGTTGGTGTGAGGTTGGTGTGAGGTTGGTGTGAGATTGGTGTGAGGTTGGTGTGAGGTTGGTGTGAGGTTGGTGTGAGGTTGGTGTGAGGTTGTGTGAGGTTGGTGTGAGGTTGGTGTGAGGTTGGTGTGAGGTTGGTGTGAGGTTGGTGTGAGGTTGGTGTGAGGTTGGTGTGAGGTTGGTGTAGGTTGGTGTGAGGTTGGTGTGAGGTTGGTGTGAGGTTTGGTGTGAGGTTGGTGTGAGGTTGGTGTGAGGTTGGGGGTGTGAGTTGGTGTGAGGTTGGTGTGAGGTTGGTGTGAGGTTGGTGTGAGGTTGTGTGAGGTTGGGTGGGTTGAGTGGTGGGTGTGAGGGTGTGTGAGGTTGGTGTGAGGTTGGTGTGAGGTTGGTGTGAGGGTTGGTGTGAGGTTGGTGTGAGGTTGGTGTGAGGTTGGTGTGAGGTTGGTGGTTAGGTTGGTGTGAGGTTGGTGTGAGGTTGGTGTGAGGTTGGTGTGATGTTTGTGAGGTTGGTGGTGAGGTTGGTGTGAGTGTGTAGGGTGTGTGAGGTTGGTGTGAGGTTGGGGTGAGGTTGTGTGAGGTGGTGTTGAGGTTGGGTGAGGTTGGTGGTGAGGTTGTGTGTGAGGGTTGGTGTGATGTTGGTGTGAGGTTGGTGGTGAGGTTGGTGTGAGGTTGGTGTGAGGTTGGTGTGAGTGTGTGAGGTTGTGGAGGTTGGTGTGAGGGTTGGTGGTGAGGTTGGTGTGAGGTTGGTGTGGAGGTTGGTTGTGATGTTGGTGTGAGGTTGGTGTGAGGTTGGTGTGAGGTTGGTGTGAGGTTGGTGTGAGGTTGGTGTGAGGTTGGTGTGAGGTTGGTGTGAGGTTGTGTGAGGTTGGTGTGAGGTTGTGTGAGGTTGGTGTGAGGTTGGTGTGAGGTTGGTGTGAGGTTGGTGTGAGGTTGGTGTGAGGTTGGTGTGAGGTTGGTGTGAGGTTGGTGTGAGGTTGGGTGAGGTGGTGTGGGTGGTGAGGTTGGTGTGAGGTTGGTGTGAGGTTGGTGTGAGGTTGGTGTGAGGTGGTGTGAGGTTGGTGTGGGTTGGTGTGAGGTTGGTGTGAGGTTGGTGTGAGGTTGGTGTGAGGTTGGTGTGAGGTTGGTGTGAGGTTGTGTGGTTGGTGTGAGGTTGGTGTGAGGTTGGTGTGAGGTTGGTGTGAGGTTGGTGTGAGGTTGGTGTGAGGTTGGTGTGAGGTTGGTGTGAGGTTGGTGTGAGGTTGGTGTGAGGTTGGTGTGAGGTTGGTGTGAGGTTGGTGTGAGGTTGGTGTGAGGTTGGTGTGAGGTTGGTGTGAGGTTGGTGTGAGGTTGGTGTGAGGTTGGTGTGAGGTTGGTGTGAGGTTGGTGTGAGGTTGGTGTGAGGTTGGTGTGAGGTTGGTGTGAGGTTGGTGTGAGGTTGGTGTGAGGTGGTGTGAGGTTGGTGTGAGGTTGGTGTGAGGTTGGTGTGAGGTTGGTGTGAGGTTGGTGTGAGGTTGGTGTGAGGTTGGTGTGAGGTTGGTGTGAGGTTGGTGTGAGGTTGGTGTGAGGTTGGGTGAGGTTGGTGTGAGGTTGGTGTGAGGTTGGTGTGAGGTTGGTGTGAGGTTGGTGTTGAGGTTGGTGTGAGGTTGGTGTGAGGTTGGTGTGAGGTTGGTGTGAGGTTGGTGTGAGGTTGGTGTGAGGTTGGTGTGAGGTTGGTGTGAGGTTGGTGTGAGGTTGGTGTGAGGTTGGTGTGAGGTTGGTGTGAGGTTGGTGTGAGGTTGGTGTGAGGTTGGTGTGAGGTTGGTGTGAGGTTGGTGTGAGGTTGGTGTGAGGTTGGTGTGAGGTTGGTGTGAGGTTGGTGTGAGGTTGGTGTGGGGTGAGGTTGGTGTGAGGTTGGTGTGAGGTTGGTGTGAGGTTGTGTGAGGTTGGTGTGAGGTTGGTGAGGTTGGTGTGAGGTGGTGTGAGGTGGTGTGAGGTTGGGTGAGGTGGTGTGAGGTTGGTGTGAGGTTGGTGTGAGGTTGGTGGAGGTGGTGTGAGGTTGGTGTGAGGTTGGGTGAGGTTGGTGTGAGGTTGTGTGAGGTTGTGTGAGGTTGTGTGAGGTTGGTGTGAGGTTGGTGTGAGGTTGGTGTGAGGTTGGTGTGAGGTTGGTGTGAGGTTGGTGTGTGAGGTTGGTGTGAGGTTTGGTGTGAGGTTGGTGTGAGGTTGGTGTGAGGTTGGTGTGAGGTTGGTGTGAGTTGGTGTGAGGTTGGTGTGAGGTTGGTGTGAGGTTGGTGTGAGGTTGGGTGTGGAGGTGTGTGGGTTGGTGTGAGGTTGGTGTGAGGGTGGTGAGGTTGGTGGTGAGGTTGGTGTGAGGTTAGGTTGAGGTTGGTGTGAGGTTGGTGTGAGGTTGGTGTGAGGTTGGTGTGAGGTTGGTGTGAGGTTGGTGTGAGGTTGGTGTGAGGTTGGTGTGAGGTTGGTGTGAGGTTGGTGTGAGGTTGGTGTGAGGTTGGTGTGAGGTTGGTGTGAGGTTGGTGTGAGGTTGGTGTGAGGTTGGTGTGAGGTCGTCACCTGAAGGTTGCCAGTGGAAAGGATCCTCAGCAGAGCTGTGGAGAGAAGGGTGGGGGGGAGGGTGCATTTCACTTTCGCCATCAATCTCGATCCGCGGGGAGGCTCAGAGACACCGAGGTGAGATGAATGATGCACGCATGAGCGAAAGCACGTGGGGTCGCTGTAAATCGCCTCACTCGCGTGAGTTTAGAATTCAAATCAGCGCCGCTGCCTTCGCGCCTGCCATAGACTCTTCAGTTTCACCGAAAGTAGCTCAGCCCAGCCCAGGGAAGATGAGCGAGGGAGTTCTGATTTCTCCCGCCGACGGGTCGAGGAGACGTCGCACACAGCAGGCGTTAGCTATCGAGTGCGCAGGCGGTGCAACTGCACACGGGGCTCACGGAGCAGAATATCTCAGGCGCCAGGATGCGAAGAGCGGAACAATTGTCGGTCTCCGCATGTTTTATTCACGAGAGCGGAGCGCGCAGCTGGCTAGCGGGGGGCTGGGGGGGGGGGGGCAGGCGAGTCCCGTCTCGCCCCGCGTCCCCGACTCGGGCCGAGCCACGCGCGCGTGCAGCCGCTGACTTCATCATCGTAGCCGCCGCCACCGTGAGCCGCGGCCATCACCAAGATCATCGCGAAGCCGACACCGCCCCTACTTCCCGTGGCTGTCTCTCCACAAGAAAAATGTAAACAAATAAAAACTCTTTTTTGACACATCCCATCAGCCACACGGCCTTCCATCTGGGAGAGCATCATGTCCAACAGAGTTGGTTTGACAGGAGCAAATTCTGGACCGGTTTCGACAGTCAGTGTCTCATCAGCAGTCAGGCGTACTTGAACCACTGCTGGTGAACTGCCAGATGATTATAGGTGAAGTGTTGTTGAAGACGCGTGGACAACGGGGTAAGGCACACGTATTTATTTACACAAAGGGCTTACAGTACTAGAGGGATGTATCGGCCCCCTCACCCGTACAACTGGGAATTCACCCCTAGCTAGCCTTCCTAGCTGAGTCCTCCGCTAACGGGCTAGGGGAGGCTGTCTGGCGGACGGTACCCGGAATCCCAGAGGTCTGACTCTGGTTCCGGGACCACGCCACTGGCTCCAGCCTGCACTGCCCTTACAAGGGCGGCGTCCCAGGGGGAGTCCAGGGCCTATCTGGCTGGTCTTCTCTCTTCTCTTAACTACTCTAAGACTGAGCCCCGAGCTCTCTGGCTCAACCCTTTTTATACCCCGTTAGAGGATCGAAACCCCCCTCACGCCGTCCAGTACGGACGTCGTTGCGGGCACCACCCCGTGTGCTCACGGAGACCCCGCCCACTGTGTCTGTTTTCCATTAGCCCCTATGTAAACAGCCCTACACAAACAGACCCTCTGTAACAGCCCTACATCACCCCCCCCTGTACAGCTCGCAGCCGTCCCGGCTGCAACAACTTTCAATAAAGGTTATTCAACCCCTGGATCCCCGCGTGTGCCTTAAAAAAACGTTTTGAACGCTAACTTGAAGGAACCAACAGTAACAACAACAACAACGACAATGACAACAACAAAACCCTCAACCCTGAAAGGGAACAATCCGACGCACCCCCCCCCGAATAAATACGGATACCGTAAGAACGAGCTATATACAATATGTAGCGAAGCCACAATGCACACCAATGGGCAGGGGACACCCCCCCCCCCACACAACACAATGAACACAACATATATATACAAATCTTGCGGTTCCTCAACAGTCTGCGCATTTTTGCGCGTGTCCTTGCGGTTTCACAACAGTTTGCGCATTTTTGCGCGTGTCCTTGCGGCGGGCCCCTCACACGGGGGAACCCCGGGTGGCGGACCGTCAGGTGGCAATCGTCCGTCCGGGAGCGGGGCCTCCTCTGATGCCTCGTGACTGTTGGTATCCCCAGAAGGGGTGGTCGGGCGTGAGCCCGTCAGTCTCGATGAACCTGGAGGTGGCACGGCCGGCAAGGCATTAGGTGAGCGCAGTGGGGACGGACCTAGTGAGTCGGTCGACCCCCCACACGTCTGGCCACGCATGTGTGAAGTGGGTTTGTGTGCCGCGACGAAAGGTTTCAACCGAGAGGGGTGCACGAACCATCGCCGCTTCCCCCAACGAATGCGCACGCACTGTGGTCGCAGGACCTCGACCACTTCCACAGGCCCCCGCCACGGTCGCGCCAGCTTTGGGGAGGTAGCCAGGGGTACTTGGGGACAGTGCAACCATGCCCTGTCCCCCGGTTTCCACTGTATGACATGCGCTCGACCCAACCTGAGGCGCTCGTTCGCCTTTTGACGGAGGTCCGAGTTTAACCTCGCAGCATCCCGTGCCTCTGTTAACTTAGCCAAATTAAATTTGACGTGGTCAGCCAATTTTGTTTTACCTTGCAGGTCGGGGATCTGCAGCTGGGCGCGAACAGGCGGGTCGGGTTCGCGACCGTACATAAGGTAAAAGGGGGAAAACCCCGTAGCCGCATGGGGTGCCATCCGATATGCCGCCAAGACCCCCTGAATATGCAGGTCCCAATCAGTCTGGGAATCTGAGACCTGCTGTGCCATCATTGACGAAATGGTGCGATGCAGGCGCTCGACCATTCCGTCAGTCTGTGGGTGATACGGGGAGGTCCGAATTTTCTTTGTGCCTAAGAGGTCACAGACTTGTTTAAGTAATTTGCTGGAAAAATTTTTACCCTGGTCGGTCAGCAGCCGTTCCGGGGCACCTTTGTCCAGGACGTATCCCTGAACAAAGGCGTCCACGATGGCTGCTGCCGACTGGTTGGCAAGGGGCCAGGCCATGGGCCAGCGCGTAAAATACTCGACACCTGTCAGCAAATACTTATTGCCCCTGGGGGTGGCGGGAAATGGGCCCAAGATGTCCAGTGCGACCAGCTCATTTATCCTGGACACCTTGATCGATTGTAAAGGCGGGTTAGACTCCCGCGCCGGCGGTTTCCGCTGCGCACACCGCGGGCATGAACTCAGAAGATCCCCCACATCCTTTGTCATACCAGGCCAAAAAAAATCTAGCTGTATTAGTGCGAGGGTCTTTAGAGTCCCCAGATGTAACAGGCGCTCATGCGCGGCCCACACCACTTTGCCTCGCAACTCCGAAGGGACGACCAGCCGATGTCGCTGTGATTTTGCGTCCCAGTGCATGAGCAGACCCTGTACCATTTCCCATGCACCCGAATCACCTTTCACCCGGCCAGCACCCCCGACGCGACGACGCCACCCGAGGAGGGAGGTGTCCTCCATTTGGAGGCGCCCCCACTCAGTGACGGGCAACCCCAACAGGGAATCCCTTCCCTGTTGTTCGATAGAATTATCAGCCTGTGGCTCGTCATCGTCGGTGGCTGCCAGGATCGGGACCGATGCGTCCCCTGAAGGTCTGCAACGTCCCGACCCCAGGAGGCATGCACATTCCGAGGCGGTTGGCATGCGTGACAGAGCGTCCGCGTTGGTATGGCGAACGCCCTTACGGTAAGTGGTCTCAAAATCAAAATCCTGGAGAACCTCCAACCATCGAGACAACTGTCCCGATGGTTGTTGAACTCGCAGGGCATACTGTAGTGCCGCATGATCTGTGCGGACGGTGAAATGCCGACCGTACAGATATGGGCGGTATTGTTGGATGAAAAAAACAATTGCCAACAGTTCTCTACGGGTAACACAATATCTCTGCTCCGCAGGAGACAACACCCGACTACCGTATGCGACCACCCGTTCAACGCCATCAACCACCTGGGAAAGCACACCCCCAATACCCGTGTTGCTCGCATCGGTGTCGAGCAAAAAGGGTTTCGAAAAATCAGGGTAGATCAAGGGAGGGGCTTTCACCAGGGCGTCCCGAAGGGAGCGGAACGCAGCCTCCTCCTCTTGACCCCAGTGGAAACGAACCCCTTTAGATGTTAGAGCGTGCAGGGGTTTTGCAATTGTTGCAAAATCAGCAACAAACCGTCGATAATACGACGCGAACCCAATAAAACTCCTGACCTCTCCCACTGTAGTGGGAGTCGGCCAGGAGCTGACACACTGCGTTTTGGCGGGATCGGTAGCAATACCCGAGCGTCCCACGATGTGCCCCAAATAACGCACCGAATCACGCAACAAATGGCATTTTTGGGGCTTAAATTTCAAATTAGCAGCCCGCATCTTTAGGAAAACTGCCCGCAACCTCTGGAGATGGTCATCAAAAGTTTTACTAAAGACGATAACGTCATCCAAATAAATGAGGCACGACTCCCATTGCAGTCCAGCCAAAACCAATTCCATCAAACGCTGGAAAGTTGCCGGCGCTGAGTGCAAGCCCATCGGCAACCTGTTGAATTGAAACAAGCCGTGCGGTGTACGAAAAGCAGTTTTAGGCTTAGACTCATCATCCAGAGGAAGCTGCCAGAATCCCGAAAGTAAATCGAGTGTGGAAAAGAATCGCGCTCCCGCCAAAGCGTCAAGCGATTCATCCATCCGAGGGAGCGGGTATGCGTCGGCAACCGAAATTTTATTAAGACGCCGGAAGTCAACGCAAAACCGCAACGAACCGTCCTGCTTTTTAACCAGGACGATCGGCGCTCCCCAAGGGCTGGTGGAAGGAGAAATGATGTCCGCGGCTAACATGTCATCAACAGCCGATTTGACATGTTCCTTTTCGGCGGGACTCAACCGAAACGGATTTTGGCGAATTGGCGCGCTGTCACCCGTGTCAATATGGTGACGCAGCAAGTGAGTGCAGCCCAAATCATATTTATCTCGACTAAAAACGTCGGAAAATTCTCGCAATAGCGTTTTAAGTTGTTGACGCTCTGAATCGGACAGGTCCGTCGATCCCGCACAAAGCGCCTCGAGCCACCCTTCATCGCTGTCCGAACGTGGTCGCGACGCAGGGACAGTGTTGACGGAATTTACGGCGGGCTCCTCACACGGCACCGGCGTTGCGTGAGCAAGCACGGTCCCCTGTGGGAGCACCACCGTCTGCGAGCCCACGTTTAGGACCGCGATGAAGGGTTCACTATCCCCTCTCACTATGGTCTGGGCCGGTAGTAAATCAGGTCCACTA